GGGGGGGGGAAGGGGGTGGAGAGAGAGTAGATGATTATAAATAACTGACATGATCCAAAATTTCTAGTTCTTGCTGACAAAATTAAAATTTCTCAATTAAAAGGCCATCCTCACAAGATTATGCAATTTCACATAGCAGACCTAACTAATGGCTACTCCCCAAGTATGGTATTCCCATAGCTGGGGCATTGTTTTGCCATTAAGCAAGTGAAGCCAAGAAAAACCTCAAACAATTATGGGTGCACTCACAGTAAATGCTAAAATCAAAGATACAGCCAGTTTTGAGTCAAGAAGAGGCATGAAAGAATAGATTATAATGCAATTGACTAGGCTGTTAAAAAGCAGGTCCTGTTGCAATACCTGCCCTGTTGAAACAATGACAGGATCACTCATCAATTCCAAAGATATAGGACAGCGAAAATCATCTGGTATAACTGGGGATTTCTGATCTCCATCCTTGGATGCTTGTCCAGAGCAAGTTAATGGAATAGACTTTTCCCTTGCAAGAGAATCCGTGTTGGGAATTTCCGTTTGCACAAAATCCTTAATTTTCTTCAGTAGCATTGACATCTTCTCTATGCTCTCCCCTGGATCCCCACCACTGGCAGAAACCATCTCATGCAAAGCTAATGATTCTTGTGTGAGGTCAGCTATTCCAGTTAGCTCTAACTTTTCAACCAATGTCCTTAGTACAGCTGGATCTGCAGTTGCATCATTACTCGTAATGTCGAGGGATAACAGATCCTCATACAGCTCAACATCTGGTGCCTCAACCCTTCCTTTGGCTCTTTTGAACTGAGCAAGAACGAGCTCAACCTGGAGAAGGATTAAGCCATAAAGGAACAAGGAAACATTGCAGATACAAACAAATTTCAGTACTTCTACTGCTTTCGGGCAGACTATTCTTCTCGAACTACACTCTAATAGATGTATAAAAGAACTTCTTGGATTTCAAATCTTCAAAAAAATAAATTCTAAAATGAATTTATGAAACATCGACTTACTTCCACCTTTGAAACAATCAAACAAGACATTTTGGAACCTAATTAAGGCGTCATCGGTGCCACTATGACATTCACTGTTCTGAATAATTATCTCATCATTTTGCACATGAAATAAATTAGCATGATATATCAAATTGAGAAAGAAAAAAAAAAAAGCATCTTGTCAGCGTCCTCTATAATCACATTTGCACAAATGATAGAAGCATTCACAGATTTTTCCTTACCTGTTCTTTAACTTCATCAGTTATGTCTAGTTTTTCATAGGAAATTCCACTCAAAGCTTGTTCCAAGTGAGCTGTCACTTCCTGGAATCTACTCATGATTTGTTCCCTCTCTAAGACCTGCAAGAAGAGAAAAATTCTTGGTTTAATTTTTGTTCTCTTTATTTATTTCATTGGGAAAAAGGTACTGGATCATGAAAGACTTATGTGAGGTCAACAAGGCTCAACTACAAAAACCACTGATGGAAGTCGAATAGAGAGATGCTCAGATGCAATATGAGAGGCCATAAAATATTAGAAAACAAAATAGCTTATTCTTGCGATCTCAATTTAATGTGTTTGTGTGCGTGGGTTTTGTGTTTTTTTTTTTTTTTT